TATTGTATATGGAGATTAAATATTATTTGTTTAACGAAAGACTAATGATATGCTCTGTAAAACTTCACTTAACTCACAATAAAAAGTAAAATAATAATAACTTAATTTTTCCGTATCTTTTTGAATACCCGTCATTTATTGGCTGGATTTTTGGTATCTTTTGCCATTAACAGTTTACATTTTGTAGATAGTCAATGTTTTGTTTTATAGCTTCAGGATTTCTTGACTTTCTTTGCCGTTTGCCAGTCTCAAATCTTGTAGCTCTTCAAGGTTTAATCTTAGACTCACATCTCTTCTCTATAAGCTTCCTAATTGACCTTCTTCATTGCCATTATTTTAAATATCCCACAAATGCTGATCCCATACATATATCTCCAGCCCAGACCTCTCCTCTGAGGTGCAGTTTTATGAATTCCACTTCCTACCATTTGTGAAGGGAGTGGTTGGTATTGGGGAATCTAACAATATGTGGCTCCTGCCCCCTCAGAACTCAGAGGAAGTAGATGCTTCATGTTAAATTGGAGGGATTTTGGGGAGGCTTGATGTATTGTAGAATATGTATGGCTATAAAGGAAAAGCTACAGTCAAGGGATTAGTTCTAAAATAGCTGTAAAACTACGACAAATTAGAAAATGTTGAACAACTGAACAGAAAATCGCAAAAGAAACAAAAAGTTACTTCTCAGAAGAGGAAACCTGAATAGCCAATGAAGAGGCAGGAAACTCAGCCTCACTAGTAATCAGAGAAAACAAAATGAGGCCATTTTTTAATCCCTCAGGTTTATGCAGATTGAAAAGTGTTGGTAAACATGCGAGGAAAAGAAAACTCAACAGCTGATCAAAGTATACAATGGTACAACCACCTTTGACAGAAATTTGACTAATAATATTAAAATTCCACATGGGAGTATACCTGTTGTTGTTAAGTGCTGTTGAATCGATTCCGACCCATAGCGACCCTGTACAGGGTTTCTGACAGGAAACGGCTGGTGAGCTTGAAACACTATCCTTGCAGTTCAAACAACTTTGCCGTCCAGAGCATTAACCCACAGCGCCACACCAAGACTCCTCAATATACCTAGTGTTTCTTAAATTTTCACGTACATACAAATCACTATGGGGTCTTGTTAAAAGATTCAATAGTGCTGGGGTGGATTCTGAGACTCTGCATTTCTAACCAGGTTCCAGGTGATGTCAATGCTACTGGTCCAGAGACCATTAATGAATAGCAAATCCCAAGACAAACTCTCATGAGGATTTTCCTTACAACTCCGACAGTATTAATGATAACCTGAATCAAACTAGGAGTAGAAATGGCTGAGTTTATATGGTCCAATGTAAAAATTACAGGAAATGGAGCTGCACATACTAACCTGAATAAATATAAAAACCAATGTCCTGAATAAATATAAAACCCAATGTTGGAGCAAGGGGAAGCAAGTTGCAGGAAGGATACAGACAGTATGATATTTAAAACTTTAAAATAATAGCATACATTGTTTAGGGATAGCAGCAATCATTTCTTTTAGAAACATCAGCACGAAGCTGGTCCCTGTGAGGTGAGGGTTAAGAACATCCCAAATGCTTCATTTTACTACAGTACTGCACCACTCTGTGATCCCCAATATCAACCAGTACTCCTCCCCTCAGTATTCTCCCACTTGCCTCAGGGTTCTGCATTTCACTGCAACATATCACAAAACTCAAGGATAATCATGGAAATAAATGGCTTACACAGTTGTGGAGGCTGGCAAATCCCAAATCCGCAGTTCAGACGGCAGCCTGGAGGATTCTCTTCACCCACACAGTATGGGACTGTTGACTCACAAGGTTGTGTAAGCTGACTAATCAGGTCAGTTCACTAGATCAAGTCCCCAAAACCGGAGGCCAGACGGAAGCAAGCTGGAGCAGTCAAGCGAAGGAGCACACAGCCCACTGACTTCACTAAGAAGTTTCCTTTCATACCCAGCAGGATAGCAAAATTGCCTTGATAGATTTCCAAGTGTTAACAATCACTCACAATGGAGCCAGATCATCCTCACAACTGAATCAGATAATCCTATTAGTATCTTTCCCCTAGCCACCACCCTTCCCTTGCCCATAATAGCATCAGGTAAAAGTCATTTGGGGGTACTAAGACAGGGGTTGGAAGAGACAAATAATTCACTGCAGTGTCCTTTTAATACATGAAAGATTAATTTTCCACTCCCAATTCAAGACAGTCATCAATGGTGAGACCTTGGGAAGGGAAATCAGGTTAGGCTGCTGTGCCAATCCAGATTGCTGGTAGCAAGACCAGTCTAGCCAGTGCTTCTCCCTCAGTCCTCTCCCATTCATGTTGGGGAGGATTATATAGGTACGACACTAGTGGGCTATCTCAACCACTAGGTAACACAGTACAAGTCACTATTAGTTTGATCCCAATTTTGCCAGATGGGGGGGAAGATACAATCTATCCCATGAGACGCTTGGAAATTCTGGCATACAGGTCCAGGGTCATAGTTTCAGTATTTTGTTGAGGGAACACACACACCCCTGCTTCTAATACTTCAGCTGCATCCCTTGTCCTGAGATCACAGGTTCTGGTAGGAAAAAGCAACTTTAGGAGACCGGGGAAAAACTGTATATATATATAGTTGTACCAGCATCCTCCCTTACTTCCTCTTCCTTAGACCTTCCCCCTAAGACCCAGGAATCTATCCAGTGGTGACCCTCCCTTTATACCCCACACGTGAGTACACATTCATGAAGGCATGTGAGCCAGCGCTTCATGCCTTTATCTCACAATTTTAAATAATAAGACATTCCAATTTTCTATCAAACTATTAATCTTAAAGTGGTATGCAACATAGTATGTCTGTTTAATATGAAAATTCTTGGCCCATTGTTGCACCCTGTGGTGTTTCCTGGTTGAGGAAATATAACTTGGTGGCCCAAATTGGTACAGTATCATTTGTTCTAATTTCATAGTGGTGTTTTTGGCATTTGGAGCCATTATGGGGTATGCACAGCCCAGTCCAGAGAATTATCTATTCCAATGTGGACTCATTTGTAGACACCTGGTGCTGATAACATTAGTCTGATATAATCTACTTGCTAGCTACTTGCTAGCATCCCTCCATCCCTCTTCCCCGGGAGAATTTGCCCCCTAGCCATCTGCAACCTCTTGTTGGAAGACAGATAAATCTTTATTAGCATTTTGTGCCTCGGAGGGTGCACAAGGATTGTATCTAGATTCAGCCTATCTTTGCATTGCTGCAGCAACCTCATGTTCACTCATTTCATGGACCAAATTGGCCATCTCAAAGGAGTATATCAACATGTCCACTTGCTGGTTCCAACTGCTTTCTGATCCAGGAACAGTGTTCTTCTGATAGTCATCAACATGACCTACTCTGAGGCTCCCTTTAAATTTCCAGAGTACTTTCCATAGATCCTTGTTTATACAGTTGTCCCTTTAATAGTTCATTTTTCTATTGTCCATTTACCTGACTATAGAGTCAGGTTGTTGGCCACTGCTCATGAATCAGTGAAAATCCAAACATATGGGCTCTCATCATTGTCCATTCTTTCATGACATTTAGGAAGACAGAATACAATTTATCCCATTGAGCTGACCTATTTTTATCTTCTTCAGTCAGGGCCTTTCCATCTGCTGGTCTTAATTCAGCAGCTTTCCAAATGTCATCCATATACCATGGAACTGCCATCAGTGAACCAAGCAGCCTTACACACCTTCAACTTTATGATATCATATAGAGGAAATGTTCCCCAATTAGTCATAATATCCATAACAATAATACATTCTGGTAAGAGAGATACAACTACTTCACACAAGATCTGTTTAGATCTTGCAATTTTCACCCAAATTTCATCTTATGCCCAGGAACCGTTGCATCCCCAGACCTCCCAAGTCTGACCTTAGGCCTCTTCAGTATTTTACTGACAGGTTTTGGGATTACAGTGCATTGGGCTTCTGCCAGGAGTCCCAAGAAGGTCTCTTCTCCACCTCTGGGCCATTTTGCCCACATTTCTGCATATGGCCTTGGAGTCCCTGCTTAGGGCTGGACAAGAGTACCCTGACCTCCTTGTTAATCTTTAGCTTATTCAACTAGCCAAATCTCTGCTTCAAATGGCCTCACCTGGGACTTTCCATCATTAAATTCCTCCTAGATGGGGTGAATAGAACAAACTTGTCTTGGCTTCCTTAACATTGGGGGACCTTAAGGTATTGACCCCTCAGTCGTTTAGTGAGTTAGCTGGTCTTTGTGAATATGCTTGACTTGAATACACAGGAACGGTCAAAGGAGATGACAAGTCTGATTCAGTCACAAACGCTCAGCCACTGGTGTTTATACTGAACATGGGTATGTAACCCAGTTTTCAAACATTAGCTGGGGATTGCATCTGATGTAGTCTGGTCTAAGACGTTGTCTTCTTTCTCTTGTCTTTTTGTTGTCATTATGTTGATTAAATAAAACAACTACATTATCAGACACTTACAGTTTTAAAAATTAAATTCTTATGTGATATATTTGATGCTTCCGTAATATGTTTCCAGATTAAAAGTTTTATTTTCTCTAGTCAAACCTATTACATCATTATGTAGCAATTGCTTTAAACTAGTGAGACATCCATTGTGCACAAGTTAAAACTCTATGAAGACTTGTCATTTTTGGGAAACATATCAAGCAGCACCAATTTTATTTTCTCGTGTTTACTACAAGTAAAGGGTTCCCTTGTAAAAACAGTAGTGGCTTTGGTCCATATTGGAGTTTTCATATTTGGTCTTAAAAGATTTTACATTATTTACCAAACAGATTGCAATTTTTATGACTGGACATCATTTTTTTTTCCTGACCAGTAGAACATTAGTTCAAGTAACTGAAAAATAAAGATTGCACATACTGAATGTACTGAGAAGGACACAGTGAGTACATGTGATTACCAGTAATTTAAAAGTCCTGATCTTTACTTAAGATTGAAATTCATGAACAGAAGTCATTCAAGAATTTCTGGGATTTCTCTATTATCCACAATGAGAGTATGGATAATCCCTTCTTTCCGCTTTCCACTGCTGACAGCCTTTATGTAACAGTCATGGTTCCCAACACTGAAGTGAGTTTCTGTTCCATCATCGACAAACTCACCCTAGGCCAGAGGAAGAAAGAAGAATTACTGTTTTAGAAATGTTTCCATTTTCCTAGAACATCAGTATCATGTATAAATACTGGTGATATATAATAAAGCACATACTAGTTAAACAGTAAGCTCTACACAATTGAAGTCTGAAGTGGTATTTAGATATTTTTACATTTCTCCTATGAATTCAAAGGTTTTTTTTTTTTTTGACAATCTGTAAGAACCTCAAATTTTAGGGAAAACAAAGTACATCTATCTCATAGCTATGTGTCTACCATATACATGTAAACATACAGTCTATTAAAAAGTCTCTAAAACCAAAGCAAAACAAAAAATTAGCCTCATGATAGCAAATATTTCTTACTTACAATATACAAGGAACAGTTTATTTGAATTATTTGTGTTTTCAAATATTAAAAGTACTATAATTTCCATTTTGGAGTCCTGATGTGGCCCTGTGGGATAAAGCATTGGACTGCAAGGTTGGTCTGAACTACAAGGTTGGTGGTCCACACTAACCAGCTGCTCCTTAGAAACCCGGTACAGGGTTGCTATCTATTTGTCAGAACTGACTTGACAGGACTCAACAACAACATCTTCATTTTATAGATGAGGAAATTGACGGACAAGGTGTTCAAATAAAGTTGCTGAAGATAACAATCAGTGAATGATTGTATAATTTCAACCACTTTGAAAGCCTGATTCTCCAGGCTGTAAAGTGGCTTATAACAAAACACACAGATAGTATAAAGCCAAACACCATTCATTGTCTCTAGATGTGTCTGCTGTAGCTATGAAATACATGAAATGTGGAGAGTATGAAATGTACTACATTAGATTCTGAAGACTTTGTATGAAACAAAGAATGTAAAATAAATTACTAATAACTTTTTTATATTGACCACATGCTAATGGTTTTGATATATCAATTTAATGAAAGAAACTAACAAAATTAATTTTACAAAAAAATTTTAACACGGCTACTAGGAAGAAGTTAAAGATACATATGAGGTTCATATTTGTGGCTTATATTACATTTCTGCTACACAGCACTTACCTAGAGTGCAATGTAAGTTCATGGAAGATAGGTAAAGAGGATTAGAAGGATAAAACTGAATCACGCCAAAAAAATCATGCCAAAGAAACCACAATCAGACTTAAGATAGATTTACCTATGAGCTTCCTGGCAACTAAAGCCAAAAAAAAAAAAAAGGGGGCGTTTCCAGGCAAGGTCCCACAGCTAACTGACATCATCTCTCCAAAGTAAGAACAGCTTGCATCAGGAAGAGCAGCTTTTCCAAGGCCTGAGGAGAATCTGGCAGATGGCCCTTTATGGGAGGTGTACTTAGTAGCTCTGGTAGCATAGTGGTTACGAATCGGGCTGCGAACTGCACTACCAGCTGTTCCGTGGGAGAAAGATGAGGCTTTCTGCTCCCGTAAAGATTCACAGCCTCGGAAACCCCGTACAGGGTCGCTATGAGTCAGAACCGACTCCACGGCACACAGCAACAACAACTGATGACCTCCACAAGCAGCACCCTGCAGTGCAGCACTTTGCTTCTCACCCTTTTTATATGGAGCTTTGAAAAAAGCCTCTAGCTCACACTTCTATAAAAACCTATTTTGGAGGGTAGGGCAAGGGTTAGGCAATACAATTTGTCTTGTCTTGGCGATTTGACAAGTAGAAAATCATAGCCATGAGGCTTTGAGATGAAAAGCAAAAGGAGACCATAGCTGCAGCTCAAAGGCAGCAGGAGCGGTTAGCTGCAGGTGTGCACAGTGCTGGTGAGAGCGGCCTGGATACTGAGCTGCCCAAAGTGCCCTGCCAACTAGACTGTAGTTACAGAGGAGGTGACCGGGCTGTCAAGAGCAACTTTCCAAACACCTGTGATTTCCTGTCACCTGCTAATGAGCAAAGACATTATGCATGAACATTACTTGAGATTTATTTATGTATTTACAACCACATAGTTAATTACTACAAATCAGCATTCTCTTTATATACTGGAGAATTCCTTGAAGAGTAGAAAGGATAAAGTGGGGTAGAATGTCATTCAATAGTGTTGATTCACCAACTAGAACAGGGGTGGGGAAACGCAGGGCCGAGTGTCCTGTAAACCTGTGAAATCATTTGCTCTAGCCCTGCCAAGGCAACTGTAAGCTGGACTCAAAATTCAATAAATATATGAGATTTTTTCATAGTAATATAAATTTATATTAAGTGATGTTGTAAATACCCAAATGGCCCTTAACAGAAAAAAGATTCTCCACCTGCCTTCTGGTGTCCTAGTGTGGCGCTGTAGGATAAGCGCATGACCACAGGTCTGTTTGAACACAAAGTCTGTGGCTCAAACCCGCCAGCTGTTCCTCAGAAACCCTATACACAGTTGCTATGAGTCAGAACTGACTCTACAGCACTTAACAACACAACAACAGCCCCTGATCTAGAATATTCCTTGATAGGGAAGGCAGAATAAGTATGGCCACCAGGTATGGCACCGGCACAAAGTAGGTGCCTGATGCATATTCATGGCAACTCAAGTTGTTCCAAATGGGGCCAATGAAATAACTCAACAACTCTCCAAATCTCTCAATGTAAATAACATCTCTCTCAGAAGCTTTAACCCAGAGGGCAGCTCCGCACTGAGGATTAATTTTGAGTGAGCCCAGGTTAAATTTCCTTTCGAGAACTAGAATCACGGCTAAGAAACAAAAGCATTCATCCTTGTAACTTTTGATTTCATGCTTTGGCACCTCCTAAGAATCCTGGTGTGGTGCTGTGGGTTAATGTGCTGGACTACAAAGTCAGTCTGAACCGCAAGGTCGCCAGATCAAGCTCACCAGCTGCTCCTCGGAAACCCTACACAGGGTTGCTATGGGTTGGAACCAACTTGATGGCACTTAACAACAACAAACAACAGAAGCAGTTAGCTACAAAAGCAAGTAGGAGCTAAGTGCTCTGCTGGATACATTTATCCCAGTCCTCCTTCCCTCTAAGTCCCTCACCTCTCTTTCCCATCTCCACAATAGATATATGAGGACAGCAATTATGACATGCAACTGGCTAAAATATGCCCAGAGAAGAGAGCTTCTCATCATCTCTCGTATTGGTCATGATGAAAGGGGAGCAGCCAGCCTTCAGGCAGCAGACCCCAGAACAAGGGAATTTCCATCCAGTGATCCAACTTCTCCTCACACACTTGACTCTCAAGGTAGTCTCTTTCCTTTTCTCTCCTATGTTATGCTCAAGACTCTGTTTATTTTACCCCGATTATTTCATTCTCTCTTGAATTTCACGCCTACATTCATCCCAGCCACAGCCACACCAGTGCCAGCACCTGACAGCTAAAGTAGAATCAGTGAAGATTCCACTATGCTGAGCCCAATGTGTGGTAGCCTCTTTCTCCCGAAGTTACCACCACTGGTCCACAAATGCCAGCTACCTTCTGGAGTTTATCACAATACCTTTCCTGGCTGCCTCTATGATGATATTGTATGTGTCACTTTTTTTGTTTTTAATCCTATTTTTAGAAAAGTACTGCTTGTTTGGGGTGTAGTGTGTCACGCTTACTCCAGGTGTAGCCCATCTATCAGAGGCACTGGCATCACCTGAGGAAATGCTGGAATCGGGATTTGCTCATTAACACTCCCCTAGGTGATTTCTATGCATGCGGACTCTGAGAAGCAGTGTTAAAAAGCACTTCACACAGACAAACCCAGGAAGAAACCAGCCTCTTGAGGGAGGAAGTTTTCAGGACAGAGCTTGTCCCAGGAGAGGAATTTTAAGTGTGAGGTTGGTGCCAGCTTAGACCTTAATTCATTTTCAAACTCTCCCTGAACCAGCCACTGTCGGGGACAGAATTAGAATCAGGAACTTAATATTATTGTTATTATTCAAGAGGACATTTGTTAATGATAAAATCCCCATAATTTGAGACACACCAACATTAGAGTGTTAACTTATACACATGACCCAAGATTAATCAAAAATCCAACTTACTGCTGTCTCCATTTTTCTTCCATTGCACCATACATCCATAGTGTCTTTTTCTGTAAAAGTAACAATTGAAAAAATATTATTTTCTGGTTTAACAATAAAGCCAAGTCTTTATATTTACTATCTTTTAGGAAAAGTTTGATATGCAGGATTTCTAAAACTCCACTGATATTCTAAAACGCAACACTTTTCCATGGCTTTGATATTTTTTCAAAATTTGAAGAAACTGTTAGTTCTTTATTCATAAACAAAATGAGACAAAGTCACCTTCTAAGTTAAAATCTTGGTGCCCATACATATCGATATATCATGCTATACAAAACAAATGCTGAAGCACATTCTTTAAAAGGAGGATGCTTACAAAGGAAGCCCTTTAATATCAGTGACTGGAAGAGCCCCCTATCGCCCACACTTATACAGCTCAATGATGCTACAAAGACACCACCAAAATAGTCACAGCTGCTGGTGTTGTTGAGTGCCATCGAGTACGTTCTGAATCACAGCAAAGGGTTTATATATACGGCATTAGAAATTCAGTGGAAGAAGTTCCACCTTCCATAAAGGAGACCCAGGTTCAATTCCTGGCTACCAACTGTCAGGAGACAGTGGTACAGCCACCATGGTCTGTCAGTGGAGGCTCAGCTCCCAAGGTGCTACAATGCTGAACAGGCGTCAGCAGAGCATCCAGAGCAACACCGACTAAGAAGAATGGCACAGTCTACTTCTGGAAATCCAACAGAAAAAATTCTCGTATTAAAACAGAACCTATCTGCGACCAATCACGGGGATGATGCAGGGATGGGCAGTGTTTCATTCCACTGTGAGTGGGGGCACCAGGAGTTGGGGACAACTTGGTGGCTGCTAATAATAATAACAGGGTTTATAGAGAACAGATAATATAGCAAGTTAAATAATTTTAGTCTTAAATTTCTTGACTGGACAGTGTGATAATCTCTATTTCTTAATATAGCCTGAGCTATAATTCACACATTATACACTTCACCCATTTGGGATGTCTGATTCTATGGTTTTTGATGTATTTACTGCAATTTTAGAACATCTTCATCACCTCAAAAAGTAGCCTGTACCCTTTCTCTCCAATCCACCTTTTCCTATTCCTGTCCCTCTAATCCTAAACAACCACCACTCTACTTTCTCTCCTTACAGATTTCCCTGCTCTAGACTTTATGTGAAGGGAGTCAAGAGAATTTATAGTGGTTTGTGACTGGCTACTTTCAGCATTATCTTTGCAAGGGTCATCCATGTTGTAGTATATATCAGTACTTTGTTCATTTTTATGACTGATTAACATTCATTTTATAATGACTTCACTTAGAGGAGAAAATTACTACACCATAAGGGAATAAATAAGTACAGATAATACATAGCAAAAAGCTGCCATAACACACGTATGCATTAATTAACTTTTCATAGCTCACCTCAGGTGTATGTATATTGTGTGTGGAGGGTGGATACTCAGATCCACTTATAAATGCAAGTATTGTAGGGAGTGGCAGGAGAGAAGATTGAATTCATCAAGAAGTCAGAAGATGAATTCAATTTAGGTATTATTCAATTTGGGATTATATAATTTGAGTATTATAATAAATTTTGGGTACTATCTGCTAGATTGTCATACTGTGGTGGCTTGCATGTTGCTGTGATACCAGAAGCTACACCACAGGTATTTCAAATACCTGCAGGGTCATCAATCATGGACAAGTTTTAGCATACCTTCCAGATTAAGACAGACTAGGAAGAAGTAAAGCGACCACTTCTGAATGTTTAGCCACTGAATAGCAATGGAACATTGTGTGATATAGTGTCAGAAGATGAAAACATTATGAATAAGAGCAGACTATTGTCAGACATAGTGCCAGAAGATGAGACCCTCAGGTTGGCAGGCACTCAAAATATGACTGAGGAAGAGTTGCCTCCTCAAAGTAGAGTTGACCACAATGACATGAATGGAGGAAAGCTTTCAGGACTTTCATTTGCAGATGGGTCACAACTAAATGAGAAGAAACAGCTGGAAACATTCATTAATAATAGGTATGTGGGATGTACAAAGTAAGAATCTAGGTAAGTTGGAAACTGTCAAAAATTAAATGGAATGGATAAAGATTGATAACCTAGGTTTCATACTGGCCATTTTTAATCGAACAATCATATGCCAGGAAAAACAAATTTAACAGGAATGGCATCATATTCACTGACAAAAAGAACATTTCAAGATCTGTCTTGAAGTACAATGATGTCTGTGACAGAATAGTATCTATATGCCTACAAGAAGACTAGTTAATATGACTATTACTCAAATTTACAAACCAACCACTAAAGGCAAATGTGATGAACTTGAAGAAATCTACCAACTTCTTCTGTCAGAAACTGATCAAACATGCAATCAACATGCAATCAAGATAATAATTACTGCTGACTGGAATGCAAAGGTTGGAAACAAAGAGGGAACAGTAGTTGGAAAATATGGCCTTGAGGACAGAAATGATGCTAGTGATTGAATGATAGAATTCGGCAAGACCAATGAATGACTTACTCATTGCAAATACCTTTTTTGAGAAAAATAAAAGACTACTATACACATAAGGAGCTCTGGTAGTGTAGTGGCTATGAATCGGGCTGCTAATCTCATGGGCAGCAGCAGTTCGAAACTACCAGCTGTTCTGTGGGAGAAAGATAAGGCTTTCTGCTCCCATAAAGATTTATAGCCTTAGAAACTCTGTAGAGGGTTGCTATGAGTCGGAACCGACTCCACGGCACATAACAACTACACTATACACATAGGCCTCACCAAATGGACCATACGAGAATCAAATTTGGCTAATACTATGGGAAAAGATGGTGGAAAAGCTCCATATAATCAACACAAACAAAGCCAAGGGTAGACTGTGGGACAGACAACCAATTGCTCAAATGCATGCCCAGGATGAAGCTGAAGAATATTAAACAAGTCCATGAGAGCCAAAATACGACCTCAAATGTATCCCACCTGAATTTAGAGGCCATCTCAAGAAAAGGTTTGATGAAATAGACACTAATGACAACAGACCAGAAAAACTGTGGGATAATGTCAAGAACATTATACAGGAAGAAAGCAGAAGGTAATTAAAAATACAGGAACGAAAGAGAAGACAAAAATGAATGTCAGAAGAGACTTTGAAACTTGCTCTATAGCATGGAGAAGCTAAAGTGAATGGAAGAAATGAGGAGGTATAAAAGAACTAAACAGAAAATTTCAAAATGTGTTTCAAGAAGAAGTCAAGTATTAGTATTATATGTAATTACAAAGACCTGGAGTTAGAAAAACAAAAGTGAAAAACATGCGCAGCATTTCTCAAGCTGAAAGAACTGAAGAAAAAAGTCAACCCTCAATTTACAATATTGTAGGATTTTATGGGTAAAATATAGAAATCATCAAAAGAAGATGGAAGAATACACAGAGTCATTATACCAAAAAGAAATGGCCATTTTTCAACCATTTCAAGAGGTAGCATATGATCAAGAACCAATGGTACTGAAGAAAGAATTTCAAGCTGCACTGAAGGCATTGGCAAAACAAGACTACTGGAATTGATGGAATACAAATTGAAATCTTTCAACACACTGATGTGGCACTGGAGGTACTCACTCATCTATACCAAGAAATTTGGAAGACAGCTACCTGGCCAGCTGATAGGAAGAAATCTATATTTGTGCCCATTTCAAAGAGGGGTAAGCCCAATGGAATACAGAAATGATCATCTAACAATATCCTTACTATCACATGCAAGTAAAATTTTGCTGAAGATAATTAAAAAACGGTTGCATGGGTACATTGACAGAAAACTGCCAGAAATTCAAGCTGGATTCAGAAGAGGGCATGGAACTAGGGATATCATTTCTGAAGTCAGATGGATTTTGTCTGAAAGCAGAAATTACCAAAACTATGTTTACTTGTGCTTTATTGACTATGCAAAGGTTTTCGACTATGCAGATCAAGAAAAACTATGGATAAAATTGTGAAGAATGGGTATTCCAGAATACTACATAGTGCACATGAGGAACCTGTACATGGGCATCAAGAGGCAGTTGTTAAAACAGAACAAGGGGATACTGAATGGTATAAAATCAATAAAGATGTGAGTCAGGGTTGTGTCCTTTCACCATACTTGTTCAATTTCTAAGGTCAGTACATAATCAGAGAAGCTAGATTGATCATATGAAGAAGACCATGGCATCAGGATTGGAGGAAGACTCATTAACCTTCTGTGATATGCAGATGATACTTGCTGAAAACAAAGATGACTTAAAATACTTACTGATGAAGATCAAAGATCACAGCCTTCAGTATAGATTGCACTTCAATGTAAAGAAAACAAGCAGCCTCACAACTGGACCAATAAGTAACATCATGATAAATGAATGAACGATTCAAGTTGTCAAGGACTTCATTTTGCTTGGATCCATACTCAACATTCATGGAAGCAGCAGTCATGAGATTAAATGACGTATGTTGTTGTTGTTGTTAAGCGCCGTTAAGTTGGTTCCAACCCATAGTGACCCTGTATAGGGTTTCTGAGGAGCAGCTGGTGAGTTTGAACCACTGACCTGGCAGTTCAAACGGCTTTGCAGTCTGGCACATTAACCCACAGCGCCATACCAGGACTCCAAATGAAATAAAGCACTAGGCAGGTTTGCTGCACAAGAACTCTTTAAAGTGCTAAAGAACAAAGGTAACAATTTGAGGACTAAGATTCGTCTAATCCAAACCTTGGTAGTTTCAGTTGCCTCATGTACGTGAAAGCTGGTCATGAATATTGAAGACCATAGAAGAATCGGTGCATTTGAGTTATGGTGTTGGAAAAGAATATTGAAATACCATGGACTGCCAGAAGAATAAACAAATCTGTGTTGGAATAAGTATAGCCAGAATGTTCTTTAGAAGCCAGGATGGCTAGAATTTGTCTCTTACTTTGGTCATGTTGTCAGGTGGGACCATTCCCTAAACAAGCACATCATGCTTAGTAAAGTGGAGGGTCAGTAAAAAAGAGGAAGA